GAGAATAGAGGTGATAATGATGACGATTTTTATGATGACGGTGACATGATTATAATAATGAAGACGACGATGATGAAGGACAAGGAAAACCATAATAGACACGTAAAGACATGGAAAAGGAACACGAAACAACAACACCAACAATAACACAAGAAAGATCTAACATACCCATGTCCCACATAACTCGACTTTCTCCCACGCACGCGCAAATAAGCTCATCTCTACACCACACACACTCCCGAGATAAGTCCCGCACGTACGCATATAAACAAAGTACGCGCATAAAAAAAGGACAAATCTTGAGACATGCATTTTAAGAGCTGAGTAAGAGTAACGAAAGACGCTCTCAAACGTTCTCGAGATGGCATCAGCAGAGGAAGAAATGGCCATCAGCTGAGGGAGAAATGGCCATCAGTAGGAGGAAGAGTGGCAATGCGGGCGGAGGGAGAAATGGCCATCAACAGACGGAGAAATAGACGGAGAAGGAAATAGTTATTAGGAAAAGGAGAAATGGCCATGCAGGCTAGATGGATATGTGGCCATCAGCAGAGGGAGAAATGGCCATCAACAGAGGGAGAAATGGCCATCAACAGACGGAGAAAAAGACGAAGAAGGAAAAGGTCGTTAGGAAAAGAAGAAATGGCCATGCAGGCTAGAAGGATATGTGGCCATCAGCAGAGGGAGAAATGGCCATCAAAAGTGGTAGAAATAGACGAAGAAGGAAAAAGTCGTTAGGAAAAGAAGAAATGGCCATGCAGGATAAAGGGAGATATGGCCATCAGCAGAGTAAGACATGGCCATCAGCTGAGGGAGAAATGGCCATCAGCTGAGGGAGAAATGGCCATCAACAGACGGAGAAAAAGACGAAGAAGGAAAAAGTCGTTAGGAAAAGAAGAAATGGCCATGCAGGCTAGAGGGAGATGTGACCATCAGAAGAGGGAGAAATGGCCATCAACAGACGGAGAAAAAGACGAAGAAGGAAAAAGTCGTTAGGAAAAGAAGAAATGGCCATGCAGGCTAGAAGGATATGTGGCCATCAGCAGAGGGAGAAATGGCCATCAACAGACGGAGAAAAAGACGAAGAAGGAAAAAGTCGTTAGGAAAAGAAGAAATGGCCATGCAGGCTAGAAGGATATGTGGCCATCAGCAGAGGGAGAAATGGCCATCAGCTGAGGGAGAAATGGCCATCAGCTGAGGGAGAAATGGCCATCAACAGACGGAGAAAAAGACGAAGAAGGAAAAAGTCGTTAGGAAAAGAAGAAATGGCCATGCAGGCTAGAAGGATATGTGGCCATCAGCAGAGGGAGAAATGGCCATCAGCTGAGGGAGAAATGGCCATCAGCTGAGGGAGAAATGGCCATCAGCTGAGGGAGAAATGGCCATCAGCTGAGGGAGAAATGGCCATCAGCTGAGGGAGAAATGGCCATCAGCTGAGGGAGAAATGGCCATCAGCTGAGGGAGAAATGGCCATCAGCTGAGGGAGAAATGGCCATCAGCTGAGGGAGAAATGGCCATCAGCTGAGGGAGAAATGGCCATCAGCTGAGGGAGAAATGGCCATCAGCTGAGGGAGAAATGGCCATCAGCTGAGGGAGAAATGGCCATCAGCTGAGGGAGAAATGGCCATCAGCTGAGGGAGAAATGGCCATCAGCTGAGGGAGAAATGGCCATCAGCTGAGGGAGAAATGGCCATCAGCTGAGGGAGAAATGGCCATCAGCTGAGGGAGAAATGGCCATCAGCTGAGGGAGAAATGGCCATCAGCTGAGGGAGAAATGGCCATCAGCTGAGGGAGAAATGGCCATCAGCTGAGGGAGAAATGGCCATCAGCTGAGGGAGAAATGGCCATCAGCTGAGGGAGAAATGGCCATCAGCTGAGGGAGAAATGGCCATCAGCTGAGGGAGAAATGGCCATCAGCTGAGGGAGAAATGGCCATCAGCTGAGGGAGAAATGGCCATCAGCTGAGGGAGAAATGGCCATCAGCTGAGGGAGAAATGGCCATCAACAGACGGAGAAAAAGACGAAGAAGGAAAAAGTCGTTAGGAAAAGAAGAAATGGCCATGCAGGCTAGAAGGATATGTGGCCATCAGCAGAGGGAGAAATGGCCATCAGCTGAGGGAGAAATGGCCATCAGCTGAGGGAGAAATGGCCATCAGCTGAGGGAGAAATGGCCATCAGCTGAGGGAGAAATGGCCATCAGCTGAGGGAGAAATGGCCATCAGCTGAGGGAGAAATGGCCATCAGCTGAGGGAGAAATGGCCATCAGCTGAGGGAGAAATGGCCATCAGCTGAGGGAGAAATGGCCATCAGCTGAGGGAGAAATGGCCATCAGCTGAGGGAGAAATGGCCATCAGCTGAGGGAGAAATGGCCATCAGCTGAGGGAGAAATGGCCATCAGCTGAGGGAGAAATGGCCATCAGCTGAGGGAGAAATGGCCATCAGCTGAGGGAGAAATGGCCATCAGCTGAGGGAGAAATGGCCATCAGCTGAGGGAGAAATGGCCATCAGCTGAGGGAGAAATGGCCATCAGCTGAGGGAGAAATGGCCATCAGCTGAGGGAGAAATGGCCATCAGCTGAGGGAGAAATGGCCATCAGCTGAGGGAGAAATGGCCATCAGCTGAGGGAGAAATGGCCATCAGCTGAGGGAGAAATGGCCATCAGCTGAGGGAGAAATGGCCATCAGCTGAGGGAGAAATGGCCATCAGCTGAGGGAGAAATGGCCATCAGCTGAGGGAGAAATGGCCATCAGCTGAGGGAGAAATGGCCATCAGCTGAGGGAGAAATGGCCATCAGCTGAGGGAGAAATGGCCATCAGCTGAGGGAGAAATGGCCATCAGCTGAGGGAGAAATGGCCATCAGCTGAGGGAGAAATGGCCATCAGCTGAGGGAGAAATGGCCATCAGCTGAGGGAGAAATGGCCATCAGCTGAGGGAGAAATGGCCATCAGCTGAGGGAGAAATGGCCATCAGCTGAGGGAGAAATGGCCATCAGCTGAGGGAGAAATGGCCATCAGCTGAGGGAGAAATGGCCATCAACAGACGGAGAAAAAGACGAAGAAGGAAAAAGTCGTTAGGAAAAGAAGAAATGGCCATGCAGGCTAGAAGGATATGTGGCCATCAGCAGAGGGAGAAATGGCCATCAGCTGAGGGAGAAATGGCCATCAACAGACGGAGAAAAAGACGAAGAAGGAAAAAGTCGTTAGGAAAAGAAGAAATGGCCATGCAGGCTAGAAGGATATGTGGCCATCAGCAGAGGGAGAAATGGCCATCAGCTGAGGGAGAAATGGCCATCAGCTGAGGGAGAAATGGCCATCAGCTGAGGGAGAAATGGCCATCTCTTTTCTCTTTCTTCTCCTCTTTCCTCTCTTTTTCCTCCTGTTTCTCCTCTTTCTTTTTCTATTTTCTTCTCTTTCTTCTCTCTCTCCTCCTCTTTCCTCTCTTTCTCCTCCTCTTTCCTCTCTTTTCCCTCCTATTTCTTCTCTCTCTCCTCCGCTTCCTTCTCTCTCTCCTCCTTTTCCTTCTCTTTTTCCTCCTCTTCCTTCCCTTTCTCCTCCTATTTCCTCTCTTTCTCCTCCTGTTTTATTCTCTTTCTCCTCTTTTTTCTCTTTCTCCTCCTCTTTCTTTTCTTTCTCCTCTTCGCTCCGTTGTCTCCTTTTCACTCATTTATTGATATCTTTATTTATCTTCAACATTGATTCCTTTCGGTTGTTCCTTTAATCACTAATGTATCTTCTTCTACATCCTTCCTTCTTCCTTTCGGGTTCTCTTCCTCCTCCTCCTTCTCTTCCTTCTTTTCCTCTTTCTCTTTTTTATTTTACTTTTTCTCCTTCTCTTCTGTCTTTTTCTTCATTGCTATTACTACCATGTTCTCACCCCCCCTTTT